GGCGTTATTCGCCCCCACCTGCGTCTGGGTGACTAATTCGAGGCCTAAGCTTCTGAGTGTCATGGTCACTCGTTTGCTATATGTACCACGACTCTGGTCCGACCGATCTACCGTCAACCAACTAGCTCCGTTCCCCCCGCCGTCTCTATCCTATTTCTATCCCTAATACCAAGTCTATGATTTGCCATGCCCTAGTCTCTTGTGTGCCAACCCCCCAAATGTTGTGATACAGCTTGTTTTGATTTGGTTCAATGTTGAACCACAACGTTTGTGGGTGGGCATGGCAAATCATAGACTTGGTATTAGGGATAGAAATAGGATAGAGACGGCGGGACCGGAGCTAGTTGGTTGACGGTAGATCGGTCGGACATATGCTTGCAATTGGTGACGTTAGTTATTCGAAATGTTACATAACATAGTCACATCGAAAATAGGATCTAATGCGTCATCTGAGCTGGAGGCCTAGGTGTGAATATTTGACTGTTGGAAGATCTTACGTAATAGGAAATTTGTCAGAATCTGCCAAGAAGACTACTTCGACAAAAGAAAGCAAGTATGGATTGATGTGTTGCTTGGAAGAAGTTGGTCAGTAAAACCCTGTAACGGCCTAACTCGCCTCGGGGAATCTGTATTTGGGATTGCCCAAGATGGTTGTATTGCCCATTTTTATTGCTGCTTAACCTCGTCATTTTACCTCTTCTCTCTGTATTCCTCTTCCTCTGGATCCGCATCCTCGGTTCCTCTGCGCCGCCTCATCCAGAGGGCAGATCACGAATGTCTTGTGCATGAATTGCACACACACATGCACCAATTGCGACTTGCTCGGGAGGAGGTCGAGCTGATGCGACAACAGTTCGGCGAACTACAGGCCGCCCTGCAAGACGCCCAACTGATCATTACAGAACAGCAGGATCAGTTGAACGAGTACCGACGACGAGTTGCACAAAGCCAGCACGACGCTGAAGAGTACAAGGTGAAGCAGACTGCTGCATGTGGGTCTCATGTTGCCTGGCCCCGGGCGGGGAGGCGTTAGTAACTGCTTTTCAGACACCATATCATTTGTTTCTTTTTTGTCAATAGAACAGCTAATTGGCCTGTATAACAGGACAGCGAAACCTCTGCAGTTGCTAAGCTAAACATGCTGAGAGTCGCTCGAATCGGTGCCCACTACTTCCCACTTTTGAGGGGAGGAATAGGTGGCTCGAAGACCAGAAGAACATGGGCCACTTTGACTAGCCCAGGTGGCCTAAAAATTAATAGATGAATTTCCCACAAGTAATGGTGAATTAGTAAATTCCCATTTAGCCATTTCCAACCAAATGTTATAGCATCCAAGAAGGACTTCATTTTTGACCCCTCCCTGATTGCATCAGCTCCACAAACAGGATTAGAAATCCAGTCGAGCGAATGAAGTGGCGGCATATTGGCACTCCTTCATACAGACAAATGTCACGAACGAAGCACTTAGAGCAATTCCAGCCTTTTAAGACCACAGTTGTAGTTAGGAATTGTTAGTGCGGCAAAATGGTATCTGCCCTACGAAGGAAGACGTCACCGGTCAAACGGTGAGTAAGGTGCGTGACTTAAGGCTATTTATAAACTGATATTCAGATTTATTTGGTGTATTTGCCCTATTTCGGTCAGGGGGATAAGGGGACTGGTAGTTGAATTTTCCTACGATGCTATAAACAGATTGTTAGGGGAATTTTCGTTTCGCATGAAAGTGCATAAAGAAGAGATTCGTCGGTCGATCTCACCAGATGAGGACGGATAAGTCTCTTTATACTTCCTCATCTGGTGAGAGAGACCAACGAATATCTTCTATATGCACTTTAATACGAAATGAAAGTCCCTCTATCAATGTTATCTCAAGAGATTAATCGATATCCAGTTTCTCTTCGTATCTACGAGATAAATAGACATTTCGTTTCCATTGAAATTCGCACAGCCTTGCTTTCCCAAAAGGTATTCTTACCCAGGCTGGACTGCACTTTCGACATTGTCTAGGTCCTATAAACACCCAAATCGAGGTTTGAACTATGATAGTCCAGCGTATAATCTCGGCATGCTAACCACTGCAATTGCTATAACAAATACATACGAAGAAAAGTAGGGTTTCGAGGAGTCTCTTGTTTCATAATTGTTGGGATTACTTCCATTTCGAGTAGAAGTGTTGGTTGAAGAGATTCGAAGGT